GGGCAGGAGGGCAATAATAAAGTACAAACTTTGGTTTTGTTTAAGTGATTCTCCTTTAGTACTGAAATATAACCCTGATGAGAGCGTAAGGGAGAGAGCAGGGATTTCTGCTCAGACACAGAGACACTTCTGACCCAAAGTATGTCTCAGAGTGTGGGTAGTGCCAGATACGTAAAAGGAAAGTGGAGGGAGCCTCCCTTGTGGACCTGTAAAGCGGGTTTCCTCCAAATTCCAGCACAGAGATTACTTTAATTGCAAGAGATTAACTTATCCCGTATTAGCCTTTGTCACTTGGGGTCTTTTAGATACCAAATAGGTGTCTGATCTTACTTAGTTTCCTGATGAAAAAAAATGGAAATTATTTCCTCCGTTTTCTTCAGGTATGTACACAAAAGAATATTTTTCTATTCTGTGCTTTCTTATTAATTACCTCCTATATCCTTAAGGTCCTGTCTGCCTTTAAAAATACTAGTATAAATAACCAAGCAAATGTACATCCTTTGTGAATATATTACTTAATAGAAGGGAACCTGCTAAATTGTCTAAATATCTGTATGCTTACTTAAGTGCATGTGTTTGAATGTGCATGTATGTTAATAAAGGCACATGTATACGTATTTAGTATGCATATTGATGTACTTAGACACGTTTGTATATCAATATTAAATTTGAAATAAGTTAGAAACCACTGCACTGAATTATTTTAAATGGTGATCAGTATAATAAATGAGAAACTCTTATTCATGTATATATGCATGTGTGTTAAGCACAAATGGCTTTTTCCATATCAGCACGGTTCAAAATAAAATCAAATGGAAATACTTAATGACTGGGAAGCCAGTTAGTATGTGCCATGCCACTGATGTAGTACCAAAGGTAAAAGTGTGAAGGACTGTGGAATTCACATTTATGTTTCTATATCGAGAGCATTACGTGACCATTCAGATGTCTTTGATGACCTTGTGGTTGCGTAAGGTCCATGTCACAGGAAAGCAGATGCAGAGGATTGCTGTGATGAACAACATCACCCCTTCAGCAGCATATTCCATCAGCGCCTGCCTGCCTGCTCACTTGCACCACGAGGGAGATGAAAGTCAATGTTGTATTAATCAATTAGGTTCTGCATTTGTGCCAACTTATTACTAAGAAAGGATTTGTGGTCTCTCCAATTCTGGCAGAGAGGAGTTGTCTGGGCAGCTTGACATCTCAAAGCAGGGCAAACAGTGCTGCTCTGATACAGATGTGTTTGGGATCTGTGAGCTGAGTGCTTCTGCGTTTATTCACATCAAGTTATGATTTATTTTATGAATAACCCCCCTGACATTAAGGTAACTATTTGCAGAGGAAGATACACTGTTTAACATGAACATGGTTGGCAGAATCTGGCCTGTGGGACTTCGATGCCCACAACAAAGCATTCCTGTCATCATGGGAACTGACATCGTGTCACAAATATTCACAGCTCAAAACTAGCTACTGTCTCGACTGGGATGTAAGTGGTTGTTTCTGGAACTGATAAAAGTTCTTCTGTTGTACAAAATAAAGATATTCAGGTACTGCAGAAAGATGTTCAGATTTGAACTGTTCTTACAGATGTTTGTTGAGTCTGGGGCTGGACATTTGTTCCATTTCTTCTCGCTTCTTGCTGAAAGCAGAGGACGTTGCATCAAGAGGTGCAGTCCATAACTCAGATGGGCAGTGAACAGGTGGTACATTGTTTGTTAGGCTATTTCAGATCATGGAAACCATTTGTCCAGTTTTAGATTGCTACTGCTAGCAGTGTGTCTTTTAGTTGTGGGAAAGAGAAGATGTTATTTAAGACTTAGGCGACTTCTGTTTGCCTTTTAGAGCATGCCAAGTGGGATTTAAGAAGGAATGCATAAAGATCACTTGCAGCTTCCCCTGAATCTATTTTATGTGATTCTTACTTATTTCCAGTGTGAAACACTGGAAAGAGCTGGCTCAGCAATTCAGTTCAGTGAGACATGCACAGATATACTCTGGAATGGGCATTTGTGGCTCAAGAATGGCGAGCAAGATGGACAATCAGGTGATTAGTTCTGATTTCTTCGATATACTTCATTTATATCATCACTACATAGCCTGCTTGGATGCAACACATCCAGGACCTTAGGGCTATAGAGCTGGTGTGTGTAAAAGCTGGTCACTCCTCCAGTACCTCTGGAGTCAGGGCAGAGAGGCAGAAGTCAGTGATGGGTTCACAAACACAGAAACTGCCCTGCCAAAATGCAGCACAAGAAATTTGCCAGAGGAAGGGTGATACAGAAACAAGCCTATGTTATTGCACAGTGGTAACACTGAGTTACCAAGACACCTTTTAAACTTTGAGGAGTGTGCTGAATGATGTAACTTTTTAGCTTCTTCTAACACTGCATCATATCTTAGATTCTAAAGTGGTCAGTGACTTCGGAGAGGAACAGGCTGTGGAAGGAGCTGTTGCTCTGCAGGGGCAAGCATATGTGCAGGAGCACTCGAACATTCTCAGAACAGAAAGGAAGAACCCAGTATATTGGCACAGATATTTGAGCTGTAATACAAGGAAGAAATTTGTTAGTCTCCCAAACCTCCAGCTTTCTCTCTTCCCCTGTTCTCCTGCTGCTATGTGTTAGGCTGTACAGGGCTAGGTACATTTTTTTTGTGCATTTATAATAAGGTAAACCCATATCACCATTGATAGCGGCCAATAAACTTTCCCAGAAATCTTCTCACCTTCAGCCACTGTCTGATGAACACTCTTAAGACAGTAGCAGTTGTATTGGGGATGGTTGTTCATTCTTCTTGCTCATGATCCAAATGGCAGCTCATAAGAAAAGTCACTCAGTCTGAATTTGTCCCTTGGAAGAGAGGGGAAAAAAGCTCGTGAGGGCAACCCGTGGAGATCAGTGCCACATATTTCCTAGTGTAGAAGTAAGCCTGAGATTTAGACTTTTCACCTCCCTTACTCATGTTCTCTGAGAAGAGGTCTCAGAATGGCTACCCACCTAGTATCCTCTGAGGTTGAATTATAGCAGCAGCTTAATGTTATAGTTACGCAGTAACGTTACAGCCTTGGTAAAGGGTTGCCACTAGTGACATCCCTGCTCCTTCCCTGCCACCAGCCACTCACCTCACATGGGATCTAGGACTCATGTGGCTATACTCCATTAAGCTGCTGATTTTACGGTTGTGCCTGTGAAGAGAAGGAAGCGAGTAGACCATCAGAGCTGCAATGTCCATTTGGTGAATGTTTGTGCATTTGCTCTAGATCTGGAAAGCAGGGGCTTTCCTTGGTGGATGCCCACTTAAGATTTCAGAATATGCCTTCATCCTATGTTGAGATATAAACAAGTGCTGCCGTTTCTTCCATGGTGATTATTTTGGTCTGAACTAAGTTCATTAACATGCTTATCTAACCCCTTCACTTAGGAGTCTCTTAGTTGTACTGCACAGAAATTCTCTTCTCAATTGCTGCTCTGTTTCTAAAGCTCTTGTAGTTTGCCAGGAATCTAATCTATATCAAGTAAGATTTCATGACAGACAATATCCAACTTGCTAAAACATTCAGATTTTCTTCACTAGCTTTCAACTTCCCAAACTTTTTTTAGCTCTTAACAGCTGTCACAACCCAACTTTAGGATGCTGACTGTTACACAAGCTTTTCAAAGTGGGAAAAGGAGTGGAAGTTACAAGATGGTATCTTTCTTTAAAGGCATAAACATATACCCATTTTGTTACCTGTTTTGTTGTATTACGACTTTCAAAGCCACTGCCTTATTGCTATATAATATATGATGTTGCATCTATGGATGAATAAAGATCTCTTTTTTAATCCTTCATATTCTTTTACTTCTCCTTTCACTTAAATTCATTGACATATCTTTCACATATTCTTCCACTTACTTTTTTTCATTAGGTACCTATTTCAACATAGAATTAGGAAATACCAGCCATAATTGGTTTTCCCTCTCTCATATGTTCTCTGGCCATCAGTTTACTCTGCTTACAGCTAGTGGCTGCATGGGGTGATACTTAAGAAATCATACTTTTCCTCTTTATTAAAAATAAATAATCTTGAAGCTGAAGTGAATTTAGAACTCCAGAATACAGGAGATTGCAACAATGGCTATGTACCAGTTGGGCTGAAATACTCTAGATACAGAAATTGAATAATTCAGTTTCATGGATCATAATGCATAGGCAATGATCAGGGAAGTAATTCAGCCCCAACGGAAACTTCTGCGTTTCAATAGATCTTAAGCACTAATATAGCACTATTAAAGGAGACTGTTGCTGTGGATATTTTTTCCCCCAAAAGTCTCTTTGTAGATAAAACAGATGAAGAAGAAAATGAGTAGAAACATCTTAATATAAATAGTTTTCTTTCAAAACACAAGCCTTTTCAGTGTTGTGGACATTCTGCTTAAACTATGGGTATAGTGCCTTTGCCTAATAATTACGGAAGTAGGAGAGACACAATTAAAATGCACTTGCTGAAAATGGCTGCATACATTTTTATAGGACATTATAACAATCTTTTACTTTTTCTCTTCTAGGTAATTGGTGGCAGCAAGGCATTTGGAGCTTTTAGATGGAGGCTGGGGGTGGAGGTTGTATGCATTTTTGTGTGTGTTTGGTTTTTTCCTTCCTTCATCTGCAAGACTTGTTTTAGTAGGAGGAGATGACTTACTCTGAAAGAAATGTCAGCAAAGTTAGCAAGAAAAATGTATTTTTACAGTGATCCTATGGACCATAGTCCCTATTTTTGAATGCAAAGATAGGAAAATGATTGAAAAACAGTAACAAAACCTCTTCTTTTTTCTCCTTTGATCTTTCAGATGATGAAGATGTTGAGAAATCAAGTGACAACGGGACAGCAACGCATAAGGATTCAGATTCCAAACCTGCCATGACAAAGAAAAGAAAACAGGTTTGTAAATGTAGCAATTGTGTAGAGCACAGAGATGATAATGCATAAGGAAACATAGTCCCCTTTTGTTCAGGAAAGGGATGATTTACTTCGCGTTTCATCTGATCTCTTCATGTAATAAGCTTGGTTTATTAAATTATTTTGCCTTGTTTGGAAATGATCACAATCCAGTACATTTCAATAAATTCACTCGTTTTTTGCCAGGCCTGTCTCTTATAACATGTCTTCATAGCAATAAAAGGCTGGATGGTTCCTACCAAGTGTCCTCTCCTGTAATCTTTTCCCTTTCCCTGCACACACAATGTCTCAAAAGCTGTATTTATATGCTGTACAGCATCTGTACCAATCATGTCCCCAGTGCAAGGTCCAAGTGAAGAAGAATTTAGTTCTACAGGGATTGATATTTTCATAGCCTTTCACTACTCAAAGCTTCCTTTAAAACCAGTAGGAACTGTCTTGTTCAGCATTAAATGCATATGCCAGGCAAAAGGTAGCAAAGTTTTTAACAGACAGCATCACTCCAACTAGAGCAAAAACAAGTCATCTAGAGGTAAAATGATTTTAAGAATCTCTTGTTTGAAGGTAAATTTCTTCTGCCTTCCAGATACCATACAGCAGAATCAACTGAATGGCTGTCAAAGAGCTAAAATTACATGGGCAACTCTCTCTCCTTGAGGTTACAGATATTAATTTTGACCTCTTCATCAATAGTAAATTCACTGTGTGAATGCAGTTGCCCAAGTGAAAACCGTTTTCAGGGATGGGGTTTTTTTGGTAACAGAGAAGTGTTAAACAACACAGTAGCAATTAATATGCTTTGGGGTGTCTTTTCAAGGAAGCCAGAGGTGAAGTGAGATAAATACCTGAACTGGTTCCACATTTTGATTAGGAAAGAGAGAACCAAGCAATACAGGAGAAAGCTGTATCACGTTTGTACATGCTCTACCAGGGGGTTAGATGCTGAGGACTTGAATTCGGTGAGGATGCTTATGGAGCCACTTTTTATCACTATTACTTTCACTTTAGCATTTAGAACTAAGGTAAGACAATTTGTTTGGTGGAGTTGCTTTGTTCTTTCCTTTCTGTGAGAACAGAAGATAACCATTACAGGTTATCCTGACAAGGTGGACTGGGACTGCTAAGTTACAGCAGAACACAAGCCACAGCTCTTCCTGTCATATAAAATATATTAGTCTGCATTTTGGAATTGGGTAGTTTGATGTTTAGCCACAAAACTCCAGGAGGTAATGCTTTATGGGAGCTCAAACTCATGGATATGTCCTGTTTGCAAAACACTTGCAAAATCAGATGTATTTACAGAAAGCTAGTAGTTCTGTAGTTTTGGTGCTTATAACATAACCTGTTTTACTCATCCCTGCCTTATTCGCATGTGTTATGCAGGGGACTTGGCACCTTAAAGCCAGTCTGGAGACAACCAAATAGAACTGCAGACATTTATGTTTCTAGTCTGCAGGCTGTCCTTAGGCTTACAATGAAATGAATAATTTGTCTCCAAACTGAATGGAGCATTTGATGTGCTTACTTTGTCAAAAACTGAAAGTCGGAGTATATGGCTGACCTAGAATGTAAACTTCCACACACATGCAAGAATGTTTTCACTCTGCATATGAATTTCCAGTAACTTGGCAACATGTAAAGAAAAAAATTTGTTAGAAATATAATGCAGGAAATATTTTATGTTCTGCCTATGATTAACAAACAAGGAATTTATGACATTTTAGTTCATAAATCACTGGTCTCAGCACAAATTTCCTGTTTTCTGCATTTTAAGAACTTCCATGTAAAAATAGCATAAAAACACAGAGCAGAGGGGAGCCATGTCAAAAACCAGTTGGTTGGCTGCTCTGTGTCTTGCATAAGAAAAACATGCAAATGACCTTTTCTTAACGGTGGCATGAATAGGCAGGCAACTAACATTTGGATAAGGGTCAGAAGTTCAGTCTAGATCAGATGACTAAGTATTTTAGACTGCAGATTGTCAAAGATATATAAGCTTGCAGCCATTCACCACCGTGAAGTTTCTCTTTTTCTTACAGCATTATTTTTAATGTGTGAGTAAAGTGGAGTTATTATTGCTGGGCTAATAGTATACTATGCCTAAATATATATATGCTGTTGTAAAGGAGATGATTTTGAGTCTTAACATGCTTCTCTGAAGAAGCAAGCTTTGGCTACAAGCCTGCTGTGTGCTTCTGTGCCTGCTTTGTACTTTTTTTGCTGTTGAAATAATGGGTTGTATATGGCCTTCAAAAAAGAAGCAATGGTATTTGGTGATACTATTAAACATCTGAATGAAGGGGGTATCAGTCAGAAAATTTTGATTCTTTTGGAGAAAATTTTTCAGCTCTGTGCCGGAGTTTTAGTATTTTCTCATGTAGATACCTGTTCGGAGAGTTCTGCATATTTATGTAAAAGAATTCACTATGTGTATGAAGGGAGAAATGGGCCTGAAGTGAATGAGTAGCATTTTTCAATATGCTGAAAGAGCAGTAGCACTTCCTAGGATAGAGAAACATCATTCCTTTACTGGAAGAAAGAGATTCAGGTTGGCCTATTTCTGGCTTTTTGATTGCTTGTTACTATCCCTTGACTAAACCAATCCAAAGGCTTGTTCTGCGAATAAAATACGTTGAACGTGGAATTTATGATTAAAACACCTGGCAAGTGGTCTTTATGTATCTATGGACAGCTGGGATGCATAAGGGTAGAGCAGGAACTGAAGGCAGAAGGTAGCTCTGTTTCAGTCCCAGTGTCTGGGAATGCTAATTGTAGGAATAGGAATGAAGAAACATATAGTGGTGTTTAAAAAGCACTTGAATCAGAGTCAGTGCAGAGATTATTTAAAAAGAAAGCAAGCAAAAATAAAAGCAAAAAGCTTATTTTAGCCCTGCAACAACTATTAGTTGAAGTGAGTTTCTAGTTGCAGTAATTCCCTTGATTTCTAGTGAAGATGATATGTTTATTCCTGAGAAAATCACAGGGACAGGTGTTTCTTGTTGAGGCAAGAGATGGTCCCTATCACTGCTCATGGGTAGGTATTGATCCAGCTCTAGTGGTACTTCGCTGGCTGTAGCCAGTCCCCAGCCAAATTGTCTCTGGTCATTCCTAAGTACGGTTTCAAATCTCAACCAGTTTCATAGCCACTTCTATACAGTATTGCTGCCTTTGCAAGTGCAATAGCTGTGGTTGTGCAGAAAGCAATAGGTGATTTGTTTGTGTTAAGCATGGTGGTATCCTGTTTTTTATAGCCAAATTAGGGCAGTGGAGAGAAAAAGGGAAATGTAGGCATAGTGTGAACAATAGAACTCCACAATATGCTTCTGATAAGGATATGAGAGTGAGCTTGGAAAGCCACAAAGTGCTGGGTAGGGTCATACAGTACTGGTTGTCATGAAGTGTCTTCCTGTTAAGGGGAGGGAAGTGCAAGGAGAGCTCAGAAAGGCTCAGTCAGGTGCTCTGAACTTCTGTGAACTTGCCTGTTGAAGCTGCCTTCACAAGGGAACAAAGGAGCAGCTTCTCTGGCTTTCAGCTGGACTCCCTTTTCTGCTTATACTTTTCTTCCAGGCTTTCCCCAGGGAGCAGTGCTGGATTTGCTGTTCCTGAGCTTTTAATGCTCCATATGATGAGACTTCTCCATGGTTTCTCACAGGAGCAGATTTTTCCAGCCAAATGCATCCTAATATTAAGGAGCTTTTTCCTGCAGCTCAGCCGGTTTTCCCATTGCTCTTCTTCACGTCACTTATTTAGCTCTAAAGCCCGTCTGTGTAGATGAATTTGCATTTCCATGAAGTGAAAGGCCCTAAGAAGGCAAAAGAAAAAGGATCACTCTGCTCAAAACAAGGAAAGCTTGTGCCTCACTTCCTCTGGTTTGGACCATTTTAGGTGTCTAAGGACAAATCCTAAACCTAGCTTATGTGAACAGGGACTCTGGTACAAATGGCCAATTCAACCTGCTCACTCAGGCACAAAAGAGGGTTAATGGTAGCAATACATATTGGATGAAGATTATTCTGAAATGCACCATGTATTTTTCTTGTGTGTATTTGACTCTGCCTGCTATGGGGAGACAAGAATGGAGTAGAACAAATTCAAAACATGTTTTCCTAAATTTTGCATTACAAATACAAAAGGACATCCAGAGTATGATTGTTTCCAATTATTCTAGCCCAGTTTCATGGCATCTTTTACTGTCTAGATGATCACCTTAGACCCAGTTATTGTAGAGCACTATTGGCAAGGTTTAGACAAACAATCACGCACAATAATAGAGGTTAAAAATACGAAGTTTGTGAAATCTTTTGTTCACGTTTTTGTTTTTTTTTTCTTTTAATGTATCGAAACCTGCTTTTCACCATTTTATGGAATTGTGGCTACAAGCTGTATGTTTCAACTTTCTGTTCTTTTATTCTAGTCTTGGTTACAACATAGATCTCAATTCCAAAGTGACTCCAGATACATGTAACTGTAAGAATGTGATCCCTTCTGTAAGTGGGGAAGCTTGGTTTTGTTTTTATTTCTCTAACAGCATTTTACTTTCTGTATCCACTCCTAGCTCCCTTTGGTGACTTCTTTTCCCCACCATAGGTGATCAGATACCTGAATCTTTTTTCTTTCTTTCTTTTTTTTTTTAATATGTGCTTTGCAGCCTACAGAGTGTTTTCTAAGTCAGCCAGAAGAAAAACAAGAGACTACTGTAAAGGCAAAGAAAAGAAAGAAGGTATGAACATCCTAGAGAGTGTTTGGGGACTGGGCAGTGGGTGTATGTGCTATTATAGAATTGGGACAACCTTGTGATGATAAGAAGTAACATGGTCACGATGCTGGAACCTCTTTTAGACACAAACAGAAATTCCTACTTTTTTGACTTCATTCAAAATACCCCTTCCTAACCTGAACGGGGGCAGTGTATCTGTACTCTGCACAAAGGTTGTATATGTCTACACCACTCTTGGAGGTGTTGCACAGTGGAAAAATGTAACTGAATCAGAGAAAGGTAGAATTTCAGTTGCTGCAGAATCTGCCCCATTTCAGAAGTGTGGTCAAGCTCCAGCTGCTATGTCTTTTAAGCCAAGAACTGTCCGTGTTTGCTGTTCTCCTCATAGCATAACTGTATAAATAAATACCCTGTATTGTCCCTCTCGCCATGCTTAATCCTCATCCTTAACAACAAACATACTCTGCAGTCTAGATAGAAATTATATGGTACCAGGAAAGTTAATTGTCCTTCAGGACAAACTGTAAATAGTTGGCTCCTTCACAAGGCTGAGAGGTGGCCTTTTTATATTATGTCAGGCCTCTCAGTCATCCAGGGAATGGGAAGAGGGAAGAGTGGGATTTTGTTTTAAAGGCAGCTCTGGCAGAGGTGACTGCAGTACTTGTTTCACTGCTGCCAGAGCGAAAGCATCCCACAACCGAGACTGGTGAACTAGACTTAACAAAAAGACCCCATTCTCAGGCAAACAATAGGCACTTAATTACACCTTTGGTTTCAGTGGGGCTAGGCCACTAAGTTGACATACACAGCTGTCAAAAATCCATCAGGAAATATTTTTCAGGTTGATCTATGGGTTCCAAACAAAGTGTTCTCTCAAAGTAAGGAAAAGGGGGAAAAAAAAAACCCCAACCTTTTGCTTTTAAGCATCTGGAATGCATTGGAAGAAAAACATAAAACATCCTGCATGAGAAACCTTTCCCCATAGCTCTCCTTGAAGGAAGAGAGTTTGCTCAGGTGTCTTTGCTCTTGCTCTTAGGGAATTCCTCATTAGTATCAGGCTTCTCCTCTCCAGGGTGCCATAATTTTCCTGAAGGAACCAAGAGACCCAACAAATGACATAGTGGTCCTGTGGAATAGCACCTTATGCTGAATTGCCAAGTAAAATGAGCCTGATAGTTCTGTTTTGCTGTCTGCTAAATCAGAGGTTCCCAAATGCGGGTCATTTAAGAGGCAGGTATTGGGGCTGGGGCTGGACAAGAGCAGCGGTTGATAGGAAGAACAACAAAGAGGTTCAGCTGTGGGCCCCATGCAAATGATGTGTGCTGCAGATGGTTTCTGGTCATTCTTTGGGAAGACAGTTGTTGCATGGCAGACAAATACAGTGGTGCCAAATGAGGGCGAATCTCGGGAAGAAAGGAACGCTATGGGTTCAGGCACTGAAAAACCTGCCTAACAGCCAGATGTCCAGTGAAAAGTCTTCCAGGGACTGCAGAGGGCTTTGCACCAGGCCAAAGGCAGACTGAGAGGAAAGCATAAGGTGTATCTTATGTACATCTTCGTGTATCCCACAGTTAAAGATTCATTTGGGGCCTTGCAAACACATTGCTGGCTTTCAGCAGAGGTGAAATGGGCAGTAGCCAAAGTGGCAGATGGCTGGGAGAGTCAGCCTTTACTGTGCGGTGGAGTGTCTTCAGCAACCCCTATATGGTTCTTCCCTGTTGAGCCTTCTACCCCTTATTATGGGTATATTGGGCAAGAGGGAGAGACAGAGTGTTGGAGTATGGAAGAGAAAGAGGGAGTGGGTGCTGGGATAGAGTGAGGGGAAGAGGGATGGAAGAAGATCTGTCCTCTATGTTGAAATTCCTGTTATAGCTCTCTTCAAAATTTCCATTTATCTTTGTTGCCCCAGACCTCAACCTGAGGAGTTTGCACTGAAGGTACCCACCATCCCTCCAAAGCTGGCAAAAATGCTTCCAGGCCCACCTCATCTGTCTATGAAATCTCACTTTGTCTCCCAGATACATGCCCCTTTTGCTCCATCCTTCCCACACTCTCCTGCTCCTTTGCACTTCTAAGCTTATGCCTCCATGCATCCTCATGAGGCAAGTTCAGTTTAGCTCACACAGCTGAGAAACCTTAGTGTGGCATTTCCCGAAGAATCACTTCTCAGTGAGAACAAGAGAGGCTTCACATTCTTGCCATTGTCTGCAGGGTGCCGCTATCCTTGAAAAACTACTGTTTTCTTAAAGGCTGGCAGATCATTCAGATAACAGGAACCCATGGCTATTCTATCTCCATGATCCATTTAATTATGGGCAACACTTCCACTTCAGTTGAAATTCAGACCCAGATATTTGTTAACATTCCTAAGGTATAAAACACAATCATTGTGAACTCATATCCAGGCTCTAGAAATTATTAGTTTGGTTTACAAGATACACATTTGGAAGAACAGAGCAGCTGCTGAACTCTTTCTAGTTGACTTCTGGTTTTGTGAGCTCTTTATTTTCATCACTATTTTTTGGTATTCTGTGTATATAGCCAGTCATGTTTCCTTCCAAATAGACAGATAGTTACCTTGTTTGAATCAAAATATAAACAAGACACATATAACCACATGATTCCTGTTGTTATGCTTTAAAAATAATAAGTTATGAAACCCCCCTGGATTTTCAAACTGATAGTCAAGTGTAAAAATAGCAAAACTCACAAACCAGCTTTCGGTTCAGGTGAGTGCACAAGGTTTTTGTCTTCAGGCTCACACACGATCTCATCAAAGTATCTGAACTTGCATCTGAAGTCTGCATTATCACTTAAGATGACAGGAATCTTGTCCTATTGTAATATGTTTTTCTAATTAAGCTGTAATTAAACCAATGTAACTATATAAAGTTATCGAGGAACATTTATTTACAGTGTTGTTAGCTAGCCAAAGAGCAGCAATTATAGAAATGCCATACTTACCCATTTTATTTGGATTTTTTTCAGAAGAAAATTTCTGATATTCTGGAAAGATCCACTCCAAAACCTGGTATTCCTGCAGATCTACAAAATCTGCTTAGTCAGCATTTTTGTGAAAACCGTTCAGTGATTGAAATGGAGGAATTAAAGCTGTCAGGTAACTTATTCTATATTTAATAGCTAAAGAATGCTTTTTCATGATACTGTTGAGTTCTTTTTCTGCAGAAGAAAGAGGAGTTTTGGGACAGATCTTGAGTTGTACTTTTTATGGAAATACATTCTTATAAGATATGTTAATTTTATATTTAAGTAGAGGTTAGTTTCTTTAGAATAAATAAGGTTTCTTGGAGTTACGGAAATGAAGGGGAACATTGTTTAAATGTGTCCTTTTGTTGCAAAGTATTAATTTCAGGAGCTCAGTTTTCTAATAGAAATTATATGATTCCTAATAATAGCTTCCAAGATGCTGAGAGACTGAAAACATATTTTATTTCTGGGATTATCAGAGTTGATCCAGATGCACATTAGGAGGGCTGACAATAGGATTAGACAAAGAAGTAATGAGACATCATTCTGACATGGTCATATGTTGAATGCAATGTTTTTTCAGGGAGTGGCATGAAATGAGATGGCAGTTTTGGTCCAAGTGTAAAGTGATCAAGTTTTAAGCATGACGAGGACCCTTTTGGTTTCCTGTATTTTGTCTTCAGTTAAAAGCTTGTGATAGAAAAGGCAAAGCAGGGTAGAGCAGGGTTAGCTTCTGTCAGCTGGAGGTTGCGGTAGAGATGAAGACAACAATGAACTTCTCTGTTGCTTATACTGTAGATGAGGAGGCACTGTCCGTTACTTGCTGGCAGTGCTCATGAAGAGCAAAGAGCCTGCTAACTAAGCTACATAGATAAGTCTTTGATACTTGAACTCATAGTGACCTGTGCCCAGTATGGGAGCCTTCTAGCTTGGCAGTGATCTCTCTTTTAATATTTAAGCCTGTCTTTCTACCTAAATATTCTCCTTAACATCCATGATTATAGGTTGACCTTTATTTCTACAGGGCAGGTTCAGCTTTCTTGTTGACTCGAGAAAGCCTGGAGAAGTCCCACGCAGATTGCTTTGAAAAGCTTGCGTTATTTTTAGACCTTTAGGGTTTTTAGCAAATAACAAAATTACTTTGGTTTCTTTCTTATTAAAAGAGCCCTTTAGGGTAGTGAAATGACTCATTTCCATATGGATTGGCTCTTGGGTTGGATGGATATACTTTTTGTGGTTTTATGCTGGGAGTTGGAGGCTTAGAGTGCTGAGGAGTTTACAGACTTCTACAGCTGTCAAGTCCTTCATGTCAAAGCACTGGGCAAATAACAAGCAACTACTTGGAGTTGTGTGTTCTTATTAATTGACACAGTCCAGAAGGTCAGGTTTGTAGACAGCACTGTCTCTTGCTGCAGTCTAGGGTCTCTTGCTGCCGTCTGGAATGTTTCTTCCCCCCTTTCTGAAACTTTCATTTAAAATTGTTAATACTCCAGTGTGGTTAGACTCTTGGTGAAGAGTCAGTGATTGAAGCTTATGTCCTTTAGAAACAATCTATTAGAAACCACCACAGAATCATCTTTTAAACATAATTCTAAAAATCAGCTGCTGATCCTTCAGTTGTACGCTCATTCCCTTTGGAGCTGAGGTTCCAGTAAATGACAGTCTCTGGGCTTAATAAAAGGAATCAATGCAAAATAAAAGTTTTTAGCAAGACAACACCCATTAAATGGAAGATACAGTGATGTAGAGTGGTTGTGATCAAGAAAATACACAGGCAAGACTTCAGCCAGGCATCAGATATAAACTACAGACCAATGTTTGTCACATTGTCTGTTCCAATGGAAATCATGGATTGATGCTGCCAGCATTGCCACAATGCACCATTCACGTGAACATGAATAATGTCTGAGGAAACCTCTTAATTTAGTTAAAATATGTCAGCAAACATCCATAGACAGGCACCCTGAAGTGCTGTGCTTCATGCAGAATAATGACAAATATGTGGGTCCCGGAAGACAGAATTGTTAATGCTCTGTGGGAGCATATTGTTCCATCAGGCAAAGACCCTTGACAAAGATGGCAAGTTTTCAGACAATTTAATCACCTTCTTACAATCTTAGATTTTCTAGATAAACACTGGAGAAAGGACCTTCCAAAGAACGTGTTAGGACCTTGTCTTTCTCTACTGCCTCTATATGAAACTTAAAGTTAAATGTCTGCCACAAAGCTCCTGTAAGACTTAACTAGTTAACATAGTGACCAGGTTAAAAGACAGGCAGTCATTGGGAAATAAAGGAAGAGGAAGGTGTTAAAATTAAGTGTAGGTGTTACCATTAGGATCAACATAGTTAGATTATCACAATATGAAAGGCCAGAAAGAGGAACAAACTTATTGACACGTAGATTATTGATAGATTCTTGCATTTACACATTATGAATTGTTTGGGTGATGTGCAAATTTATTGCATCGTGGGTAGATTAACCTTTGATTCACAAATGGTAATTTATTGATGATGGATTTTAACACGCTTGTGATTTCATTAATATAACTAGTAGTTATGCTGCAAGCATATATGCTCCCTTTTCTGTTAAAAATACACCAACAGAAATACGTTTTCCTTTATGTTTTCAGATTCCTGCTTTTTGCCAGCCAATGATCTCACCCACAGTTTTTCGTCGTACCTGAAGGAAAGTGAGTTAAAACATTGGTCTGGATGAGATGAAAGTTGTATGGAAAACGTTGTTAATGCAATATTATTGTATTTTTTATCTGTACCTCCAAATATTTTTAATTATTAAGTGTTAATAACTTCAAGGGTCTGGTTAGGTTTTTTTTCTTCATGACAGGTATTGTTTTTCTGTCTCTGTTTTACTCTATCACCTTTTTTGTATCAAAATGTAGGGTTTCTTTTAATTGCTAAGGATTACTTGGCAGTAATTTATTGTGGCTTCATAAATAGGTGTATGTATTATCTTACAGTAAAAATCCTGCAGCTGTCTGCTGACATGAACCAAGAGAATTTTTATTCTTTTGTTTATTTATATAGAACTTCTGGTCTGGTAAATGTTTCCTTTCAATTGATTTTCTGGATACAAATTGCCATATGTGGCAAATAAAGACAGTGTCACCTTACGAACTGTTGATTTTTAATGCTTATCTAATTTGTTCAGTTATGTGATATTTCTGGATTTTATTTATTTTGGGCATTTTATTTTCCAATTTCTCAGCCATGACTAAATGTAAAAGTGTTGCCAGAGATCCAGACCTAATAGGAGTCAGCATGTGAGTTCTTGCTGCTGGCTACCATTCATCATGTACTCTTGTAATTTAAAATTGTGGCATGTCTACTTTCTCTGTACGTGTACACGGGCTTTTTCATTGCAGTCTGTCCTAAGTGGGCAAAACTCCGTAAAAACCACAAGGAGAAGAAGTCGGTGGTGATGCTGGTTATCTGCAGTTCTGCCCTTCGTTGCTTGGAACTCATCAAGTATGTCGATAGCAAATGTTATGTTGAGGTTGGCAGTCGGTCAGAGGTTTTGTCTTGGAACTACAGACATAAAGGCAAAACTGGGACACTGTCCTCTGCTAGCCAACAAATTCACTGACTTGAACTGATGCAATATCCCTTGCTTCTTTAAGTTGTGGGAGTCTGGTGTTTGGTTTTAGGTTGAAATAACAGTACTTCAGTTGCATAGAAGTGCTGTTTTTACTAAAAACAAAAAATGAAGTGTAACCAATGTGGGGGAAACATGCAACACGTTACATCTGGGGACAGAGCGAACCCATAAAACACCATGAGCCACCGCTAGAAATCATGACTTTGCATCAAAGGCAATGAGGCCATGCCATTCCGGGGCCTCAAGTGCCACCGCATGCATCTGGACTGAATGCCTCCAGATCTGTGTGTGTGTGTCTCAGCTCAGCCTGGCAAAACTGCTGTGCAGAGATGATTTTCAGTGTGCCCTGCCCTCTTTTTTCCCCTTCTTTATCCTCCCCCTTCTCATTCCAGAAGTCTCGATGACTTTGATGAATTAATGTATACCTCGCAAATTTCACCGTTGTCTTTTGTGTCTTGACCCCATTTCCTGTGATTTTCTGTCAGTTCAGCATAAGATGGAGAGTTGGGAAGTTTGACTCCATGTCACAGACAGAAGCGTAGATACGGCAGATGTGTTAGTAGTGCTTAGCCCCTGCATGCAGATGCTGCCCTCTGAGACTTAAGTGGTTTGTCTGTATACTTGTGTATAAGCTTTTAGCTTTGCACAGGAGAAAATTGAAAATTTGGTGCAGTGCAAAAAGCATGCAGAGAAAGCTGTCTTTAAATGGCATTCAGTAAGTACTGAATATGTTGCCTTCTGCTTGGTTAATACAGAACATAGAGTTGCTACTGTGTGCCAAAATGGAGTGTCAGAAAAACAAGTGAGGTTTTCTGACAAGTGAAGTTCGGGTAACAGGAATATGGGCGATCTCTGCAGTAAGGACTCTGGCAGCCTAGGTTTCCCCAGCAGCCACGCTGCAGGAAGACTCTGTAAAACATAGATTTGTCCATGCACAGATCTTTCCTTTTGTGCACACACATGCATGTTTGTTCATGCCTGTATCTCAGTAGCTGAGATGTTTTTGAATTAGAATTTGTTGATTAGTCAGTTTTGAACTAAGTTAGCTACAAAAGCACAGACCTTAATTATTAAATAGCTGAAAAGCTATCTGAACATTGCCCCCTACTGATATATTCTGTCATGTTTGTCCAGTTCTTGGTGACTGTTGATCAAGCAACAAACAGGAATGTACACAGCGTTCAAAGTACAAGCAGGGATCACTGGGGAACTGTGTGTCTCAAGCACACTGAGAAATGTCAGTTAGTTTTGCTCTCCTCCTCTGTGGTCTTAATCGCAGCCCTGATGCTTGCATTTCCTTTTTCCATATTTTTATTACTAGGTCAATGACAGCATTTAAAGGAGACTGCAGAGTTCTCAAGTTGTTTGCAAAGCACATAAAGGTAAGAGAGCTGCAGGGAATTCTGATAGAATTTAGCAATAGTGCCTTTCATACAGTGTTCTTTGGTAGCATTGGTTGCCATTTGAGGAATTTAGCCAAACACCATCTCCCATAGCTCTGGTGCAGTCCTATGCAGAATGTAGATGCTTATACATTTGCAATGTTTTAAAGATGTTCCACACTCTTGTGAGGTACTCATTCAAATGGCTTTTGCCTGTTTAAATAGAAGGTTCTCACACATAGGTTTGTAGAAGTAAACTGTACTAGCAGCCACATTTGCATTTTGCCCATTGGATGCCTGGATACCCATACGTGTTGGAGGGCACAAAATGTTGGGGATGTTGGAAGTAGTGAGTGGGTATTTGGCCTTTGATATAAATGGAGTCAAACATACAAATGTCACTTGCTTTATTTCGCCCTTTTCCAGTGTCTTCATCTTATGGGAGTTCAGAGCTAGTTCAACTTTACCAGTTTTCCAGATATTTCCAGAGACTTTGTTTAGATGCTGAAGGAAGCATACTGTTCTCGCCTCCAAAAATAGCTGGTGCAATAGCAGATTTTCGAAGTTGAAAATGACTGATCTTCTAGAGAAGTGTGATGCTCAGCTGGCTGTTAGATCTCTTAAACTTCTTCCCAGATATATCAGTTCGACAGTTTGAAAGATGAATAGCGTTTGATATTTAATGATATTCTAGAAAGAGATACCGTGAGATCTTGAAGTTATTTGCACCTCTTTGAGAAGAAATTCTAAAACAGTCATGGCTTTACTGTGGTTTGTCTTTCTCTCTTCAAATTAGATTAAAGAACAGATGAATATGTTGGAAAAAGGCGTGTTCCACATTGGGGTTGGAACTCCTGGCAGAGTAAAAGCACTAGTGGAGCAAGGTAGGAGAACAAGGAGGGTTTTCTCTGAAGGTATCTTATACTTAGACTCATGAGAAGCAAGACTTGAATTGGTTTTGAAGTGCTGAGGTTGACATGAATCTGTGAATTTGTGCATTAAACTATAGAGTTCTGTTTCTCCACTTCTACTATGTCAGTCAAATTGAGGTCAAGATTGTAGTAGCTGATTTTACAATCAATTTGAGCTGTCATAAATCAGTATTAGCTGAGAAAGGCAGAGTAATGCTTCCCCCCTTCCCTAGTCAATGCCCACTTATTCCCACTTCCTGCTTCTTGTGCTAGCCCGAGTCTGTTTGGCAGCTCAGTGAACTGAGCCCAATTAGAACTGCTCCCAATTAAAACAAAACCAGTGTGCACACAAAATCAGGTAATGAGCAGACAGAGGTGGGGGACTTCCTCTTTTGGCAGAAATACTGATTTATGCTGACATGAAAGTGATTGCAAAACCATGGTGTAAGATTTAAAGCTCCAGGAAACCAAACACTGCAAGTAATTCAAAAGGAAATAATGGCAGAAGTCCTTGTATCATATGTCACTCTGAGCTCAGTGTAAACTTTTGTGAGGGGTGGGCGAAAGATTTGCTTGATGATTTGATTTTATTTCTGATTTGCCTGTAATGAAAATAATTATGCTATATAAATCTCATTTTCCTAACTTTTGAATATTTTTATTTACTTAGTAGACATTAGGTACACTAACAAAAACAAACAGCATAGTAACAAGATGATAAGGTCAGAGACTAGCTGTGGATTGGGAGTCTATTGCTCTTTCCAAAAGGGTACAGGAGTAGCATAGTTTTGTTGCTTCCTGTGCCCTCCATCAACATGAAATCATTACTGCTCAGCACACAAGCACATTTGCATGACGGTGGTGAGACACTGGAACAGGTTGTTGATGCTCATCCCTGGAAAGTGTTCAAGGCCAGGCTGGACGGGGTTTTGATCAACCTGGTCTAGTGGAAGGCGTCCCTGTCTGTGGCAGGGATGTTAGAAGTAAATGTTCTTTAAGGTCCCTTCCAACCCCAGTCATTCTATGATTCAGTGTTGTGCGGAGGCAGCTTATGGCAGGGACACAAGGCATATCGTCTTAAGGTTGACTCCTTTTTTGATGCTTTAGTGTAACAGTGCCAGTTCACTAGAGAATGGAGAATAGTCAGAACTGATAGAAAAAGTTGTGGCCATCACCAGAAGACCAGGGAAAAACAGAACAACAGGTGGAGGGCCAGTTTTCTTCTTTCACCACCATTTATTTTGAGGATAAAGGAATTGTTCAGCAGCACCACTGACCTGACTCACATTCATATAGCACCTAGTCCTGTAAATTGCTAAACATTGTCAGTTCCCATTAACAGGAGTTTTCAGATTAGGGTCCTTGTAATTTACCAGCTCCTCCTCAGCTGTGGAAATTCAACTTCTGCGGTTTCAAGAGGAAGCTTGAGGAATTATTTTCTGGCAGGATGTTAGCTCTTGACAAGCCTGGCAATAGTAGTTGTTCTGCTTTTGTGTTTGTCTTCCAAAAAGGCATGGGATTATGTGGTTAAGGGAGTTTGCAGTATCAGTGCATTAGTTTTCCAACCAGCAAATGTAATACTTAAGTGTTCAAAGATCAGTTTCCTTGGAAACAGACAGAAAAAGATTTAAATGCCAAAAATAATTTTGATAAGCACATGTTGCATTATCTTGGTAGTAAAATTTATGTTGTCTTTTTAGATGGCCTTTGCTTAGACTCCACAAAATACATGATTCTGGATTGGAACTGGAGAGATCAGAAACTAAGGAGAATGATGGATATCCCTGAGGTATTGTATAAGCACCTGTATATATTATATATACTGTGTATTCATTAGTTTTTTGTTCTAATGCCTAGGGTCTTGGTACATACGGTTTTCTTTCTCTAAAACTGACCTCAGCGGTCTAGAAACATAAAGAAGCCAACATTTGACTGGGAAATCTGTATTCTCGGAAGATTTTCTTCCTTCTTTGTTGCAAGTCTTAGCTGTGACTTCTACAGTTGTGCTGTGAATTTCTGCTGTTTATGCTAGGTGGTTGTTCTACCTGTTCTCAGGAAGTTCAATAAGAGGACTTTGTGCAAAAGTTTCCTCAAAAACTAAAGAAAACTTGGGAGAAGCTTTTGTCTCCATCTGAGAGCAAGTAACTTCTTGTGAGTTAATCTACAGATAGCTATCCTTTGGGGGTAGGGTGAGGGTTGGCAAGAGGTACAGTACAAACTGCATAGAGCCATCCATCATTAGTAAAGTCCGTTTAAGATAATTCCCCATTCTTTTCATTTCTGTAATCCAGCTTTCACATTTATTGCTGTGACAAGGCGTGTTCACCATATGCTGTGGGACATCAGCTAGTATCTACCCAGAGAGAATGAAGGAGGCAGATTCCTCCATCACTTGTTGTTGTAAAGCTCCCAGTTTTCTGCAAACTGTTTCCACTTTTTTGCACGTTTGGAGCAGGCTGACATGCAGAATCTCCAGTGAGAAAGGAGACTTTTTTGTTCATACAGACATTAAGCTGCTTCACAAGTGAAATAAATCATCAATCATTAATCCTTCTCTGCACTTGTCTATGCATTTGAATTTGCTGTATTGTACAGTCCCATTTACACAGATACATGTTTCTAATAATCTCAGATAAAGCACCCTGCAAAAAAACCCAACATTGCAGAAATGAAGTAACACAAACACCAGCTTTGCTTTTGAGGCAAGGAGGCTCCCTCTTCTGGTAAATACATAAAAGGCTTTTTGTATGGTATTTGCACTTCCGGGTAAGTTTTTAAAGAACAGGGAATATGAATTCACAGACAGCAGTACAAAAGGTTCTGGTTGCAGTGTAATGGGTTTTTTAAATCGACTGAAGTAAATATACATACACTAGACTATAGGTGATTGACCTCAAAAACCTGAAGATATAGTGCTAAGATTTTATTTTGAGCTGTTGCAAACCCAAACTATCCATTTCAGCTCTGTGGGCAGTATCACAGTATTTCTGCATGTCTGTCTAGGAATATAGGCCAAAAATTGTATGACTCCAGATGAATTTTTTTAAGGCAAAAGCTTAAGTCTCTCTTAGCATAAAATGTTATGGTTTAGTTCAAGTTAAAACCAAGTAAGAAGGCATATTACACCTTCATATATATTGTGAGCATAAGGAATAGATATTCATTCCTGATTACAGAATAGTGAATATGTGATTACAAAAGAGCATTCAAACCTGTACTTGACTCAGGTAACAACATACAGAAAGGTTTTTGACATCTTGAGCTATGTAAGTGGAGCTGTTTGTCCTGCTGCAAGCATCAGGCAGATTCCTGAAAGTTATTTATAAGGAATTTCAGCAATAAAAGATGATTTGGAGACAAGGCATCTTAACAGAGTAGAAACCAATGGGATGTTTTGGCAACTTGCAGACTTGAAATATGGAATAGAGCCTTAGTGACCAGAGGATCTTACTATTCTACTTGTATAAAAATTGTAAATACGTGCTAGGAGTAGTTGTAAGTTTTCGCAAAGAAGAGAGGAATTATAGTACCAAGAATGTAATTTAGAGAATTGGCAGTTTGATGTACTAATTTCTTGCATCCCTGATTAATTGTGGAGGCAAAATTGTACCCTTAAAAATAGAAATTAGTCATAGTGACCTATTTTCAGTACACACCTCAATTGTCAATAATTCTTTGCATATCTAAGGTGTTGCATTGCTAAATTTCATTGTAATTACACAGGAAGCAAGAACAGCTGGAAGCACGTGTCCATTCTACTTGCTGGTTTTGTACTCACTTGATGTTCAGTGGAGAATTACGTACACAGTCGTATATTCTGATATATACATCAATTTAAAAACACATGAATCTTCCCACATGGCAGTCGTGTATCCCATCATACCCACATAATGAGTGGTGCCCTGATCCACTGCTCCCTCAGTTGCTTCAACATGTCATTAGTTAATGCTGTTAGATTTTTCTCTTTGTTTCTGTGTCTCCTATTTCATTTGTCCCAAACAATAGAGAGAGGAAATAATAAAAAGAGAGCTCACAAAGAAACCAGGGAGAGTGAATGAGTTTATCAGACTCTGTCCTGGCACACAGGAGTTACACTATAATGCATAGAGGTTTAAATAAAAATTGATTGTATACTTTCTGATCTGACCAAAGGACAAGCTTCCATCTGTGAAATCTTCGTGTGGAGAGGTTGATGGCAATACAGAGCTATCTCAACTCCTCAGATTAGTTGTTTGTAAGATTCAAATGGAGTAGTTTTTTAGAAACCAGTACGGTATTGTATTGTCTGCAAACAATACAAACACTGAGCCTTGAGGAAGTTTGAAAGTAGAGAAAGTTTAAGTTTCAGGCCTCATGAAAGTAAAAGGTTTGTAAGAAATGGGCTTGGGATGGGAAGACAGCTGTTTTCACTCTTATGTAGCACATCCAGTGTGGAATAGAAATTGTTCAGGCTTTGTCACATCATTGTTCCTGTGCAAAGTGGAGGCTCAGAAGGATGTAATCCTCAGAGAAAACATGCAAATAGGTTCTTTGTAAGTGGGAATAGGGAGCTATAAGGAGACTCTGTACTAACCATGATGATAATCTTGTGTTCCTGCTGAAATATGTAGTTCATATTTACTCTTGAATACACTTATCTTTAGATAAGTAGTAAGCTACAGCCATTATCTGTGTTATAAACCAAAGTATTTTGCATGTAGACCTGACCTTCCTGCTGCCTTTCATTGACGTGTCTCAGACACAGATGCAGCTGTGGCTGTTGCAGTGTAGTACTGCCCTTGGACTACTTGATACTGGTTGACACTCTGTAAAATCCTTAGGGATTTTGCAGCCTGGGACAGACCTCTTGCTATGGCATGCTTTATCAACAACTTTTTTGTAGCCAGGTTAGATGGGACTTCACAAGCCGTAGTTGTACTTCAGAATTGCAGGACAAATGCTGAGAGATTTTACAAAATGGAAACATTCGAGAGCTCAGGACCTTGCATGGGAACCTCTTCTTTAATTTCTAGTCCTGCAGTAAGATGCCTGAGTAAATACATACTGGTGCTTAGCTAAAGCATTATCAGTAACTCGTGATGCTTTCTTTGATTTTTGTTTTCTTCAGATAAAGAAAGAAACAATTGACCTACTGGAGATGAGTATTATAAAGCTGTGCAGAGAGGGGTCTGTGAAGCTGGGACTCTTTTAATGGTTCTACCAACAAGGAGATAATTTGCAGCTGCATTTTACTGTTTTCTTGCCTGCAATTGAAAATTGATTATCAGGTGATGGAATCAAGAATTTTGACTTTTCAGAGGTCTATCAATACAGAAAGAATGCACATTGCAACTTTTTCTGAGTTTTAATAATAAACCAGAAGTTTCATTTGTAGTTTTAGTATTTTTATCGTAGGAAAAATGTGATACTGAAATCAGAGTTACATCGTGTTCACCTGCTAGATTTACTACTACTATATGTCACTTTTAAGACTTCAAAGATGAGCACACCTGGGTCTGAAAGCCCTTTATACAGCTCTATTTTCTCTTATCTCCCCTTGCTGTCCTAAAGGAGACATGTACTTCTTTCATGAGAATGGTAATCTCATTCTTGCCTTCAGGGGTCTTTGGAAAGGTTGTATGAATTTCAGTAATTTGCCAAAAAGATAGATGAAACATACGTGTTCTAGAGCTGGCCAAATGCTGTTGTTTTTCTATTACATGATAAATTATCTGTATGTTCTGTTGAGATTTTGTTTTTTGTTAAACTGTTGAAGTGTGCAAAAAATACTCTCCTGTTTGTCCATTTAAATTAAAAGGACATGATCCCTGGGTGATTCTTTTGTCTTTTGTGGATAATAGGGAATAGAGGACAAGATGTATAGAGCTGAGCAAATCATCGGCATCTTGGAAAGCCATTGATCCAAATTAGATGTTTTGAGAATGAGTTGCCCTTGTGATAAAGAACATGTAACCTTTTTACACTTTAAATTGCATCTGAATCAATAGCAATTAATGTAGTAGGTTAAGAAAATTGATTTATTTAGTCTTTCAAACCAATGTTTTCTGTCCAGTGCTGTCTGAGCACCTGCAGTCCTCCCCAGTGGCATCCCGTGGAGTTGGAGCAGGGCTCCTTTCATTGTATGCCATGCCTGTTAGCTGGGCAGCTATGGAAGTCAAGGGAGACGACACCAAAATTCCAGTATAGCTGGCAAATGAGTAAGACGTAACAAATCCTACTGAACTGTGGACCAGGAAGAATATATTTAGAGGTTTTCCAGTATGCATAAGATGGACACCCTGACCAAAGTACACAGTCATTTGGTGCAATCTGATTATGGGGATCCAGGCACAACTGTAGAAAATGAGGAAGAGAAAGATCCAGTTAATAAGTAATTCCTGGCCATAATGCAAGTTTCAACAAACAATACAGTTTTGCAACAGTAAGGACAGTATCTCAGCCTAAACACTCTCCAGCGCATTACTTCCTCTCACCAAGAACAAAATGAAAAACAAGATGAGCTTTCTTCCACAAGAAGGAGAAGCGTGTCCTTCCAGATGCCCGGATAACAGTGCATTCAAACAACAGAGACTACCAGCTTGGAAGCCCCAGCTTACCATTGCGGCTGTGCTCTCCACCTTCTTTCTCACAGGCATGTTCTGCCTCTCTGTGGGAGTCTGCCTCATACTGTCTGCAAACAGCGTCAGAGATTTCCAGGTTTGCTTGGGAGTGGCATTCTTAGGTATTCTATGAAAAGGAAACTGGGCTACGCTTGGAAGGAAAAGGCTTTGTATTTTTGCTTCTGGAAAAAGATAATAGCAATGGCTTCATGCCTTGGACACGTGTCCAGCAGCCAGTATTCCTGTGAAAATCCTCAGAAATAATTGGTCACAAATAAAATCTGAGTGGTTAACTGGGTGGTAATATCTAAAATATGGGTAGTAATTTCTGACACTGGTAATATCTGAAATGTTGCTATTATTTCCTGGGGTTTTTGAAGAAATAAAAGCTAATCCCTTTGATAGCGTTTGGTATTAGAAGAACTTAAATGTTTGCTGGGGCAAAATCTTAAAATGCGGGGAGATCTGATGTTTAAATGCCTCCTGGAGGCAAGGTTGGGTAGACCTGTGGCGGTTGGAGCCGACACTCAGCACTAAGTCCAGGCTGTCTAAGAGGGGTGGGCCATGCTGCACATGGGGATTTGTCAAGCATTACTTGGTCAGCCACATGAAGCTGCAGAAGTGTTCTTCACTCAGCAGTCCTTTGCCAAGGACAAGCTGTGGAGGTTCCGCAACAGTCATTAAAAGGCTCTAAACCAGCTTTAAATTAGGGATAAAATTTGTGAAGTTCATTGAGGCCAAGTCCTGATTCTCTGCTTCTGTTGATTTTTAACAATGTTTTTGGCAGTCCAGAGTCACTTAGAAGAAAACTGCTCTGAGAAGTCTTGGAGCTAAAACACTAACCTTTTCCTATGTGCATGTCCTTTGTTACAATATGTCTGCTTGTTCACTTCTCTGACAGATTGATTATTCAGATAAATGCTCAGATTGTTCAAAACTCCGTGAAAATTCCTCTAATTGGAATAAGGAGTGCCACTGTTCTGTTAATTTCACACTAAACGAAGATATATTGGTAAGTGGATGCAAGAAGCCAACTCAAGTTGCTTAGTACCTCCCGTTACTTATATCCTATATGATAAAATCCTACTTCTGCTCTGTAGAGCTCCTGGCTAAATTTTCTTTCTACTTTATAAAAACATGAAATACTCAAAATTTTACACTTTTGCCTTTTATATTCATTTTGATACATGTTAAAAATAAACAAGATGGCTACCTCTGTCCTTCACTGGGAGGTGTCCAAGGAGAAGATGGGAATGAAGGAAATGGTAGTTGTTTGTGGAGGTCACTTCTCTCGCTGTCGCTCTGAGTCAGTAGCAGACCCTTGTCCTTGCCTGGGGTTAGCTGTTGCTGCACTGCTGAGCTCTCAAATGAGAAGAAAATCTGAAGCTCTGACCACTTGTCATCAGTAAATCCCTGTAGGCTTTTTTACAAGGGCTATACCGTTAATCCCCAAGGTCCTTGAAATAATTCAAGTCTAGCAATGTCATTCTACAGTTTCTTTTGGGAAAAGTATCCTTCATTTCCTGTCCTAACCTACTGGGACATGTTTCTGAGACTGTTAAAATGCTTCATGTTCCACCAAAGAGATCTTATGCTTAGTACTGCATAAATGATCACGTAAAATTACAATGCAATTTAAATCATAAGGTCACTTTAGGGTTCTTAGTACTGAAGAGGCTGTTGAAATACTCTTTAATTCTTCAGATTACATTGATGGTGGAGATGAGAAATTTATTTAAATTAATGTTTTTTAATAGTTCAATAATCCTCTTTACTGCTTGTATTTGGCTACCTAGCATTCTCCTTTGAATCACAGCACTAAACTTCCTGAAGAGTTCAAATACTTGATGAGAGGCAGATTTATTTTTCAAATAATCTGAAGGAATTAAGAGCTAATGGGTGCTTTTTGAATTTTTTTGTGCGTCTCGTTCTGTGGAAAAAAAGTGTCTGTCTCCATGAAATTATTGATAGTCATTGCAGAGTCACGGCCAGCCATGCCATCTTGAGGAAAATAATAATCAGGCATTTTTATTTTAGGTTTCATTTGGTGATTTAAAGTATGTTTAATTTTGTGCTAGAATACTAGGACTTTTAGTTAGGATAAAGACTAGATTGTAGCCAGTGTCCCCTGAAGTAATTGCTTAGAGCGAAGTTACCAACACTTAAATATTAACTGAGTGCTCTCTTCCCCTCTCTTGTTTAGCAAGTAATAGGATTTCTCTTTGTCAGCATGAACTTACCTTATTGAAGGACTATATTCTTGAATTCTAGGGTGATGTTTTCATGTACTATGGGCTCCAAAACTTCTACCAAAACCACCGTCGATATGTGATATCAAGAAGTGATGCACAGTTGTTGGGTCGAAACGTAAATGTAAGTTTTCTTCTTTATATTATGAGATCTGAAGTATTTCCGTCAAGTGCATCTTTGACCATATGGAGAGCTAACTATGTGTAACTGAAAGTGTGTTAAGTTACAGTTATTATTATTCCTTATTATTAAGGAATTATTAAGG